AAAATTTGGTATAGGAATATAAAAGTAAAGTTAATTTACACAAGACAGAAAAGAAACTTATTGAAAAATTTAAATACTTTAGCTCTAAACTTTTCTTGAAGTCAATGGTACTAAAAGTTAATCTTTTTTCTTCGATGCTTGAATTAATATGATTCTTAGTTATTAGATTCTTGATTAAATGGCATTTCTAGCTTGCTTTTTAGATTTTTTTATATAAAAAAAGTAAATAAATAAAACTAGAATGAAAAATTTTAAATTAGAATAAGTTTAAAACAAGAATAAAGCTACTTTACACGAGTAGGAAACCGTTTACTGAAAAATTTAACTGCATAGTAATACTGTTAATTTTTGTACACTTCTTGAGATGCTATTTTATGCTTTATTATTTGTCTCGTGATTTAATAAATATGATTTAAATTAAATTTTTCGTTCTCACCGTACTGCACTATACCACGTTCCTATAAGTAAATTATTAGGAAATGAAACAAAAATAATTATTTATTGCAGGAAATAAATAAAAATGAATGGAGTATTCTCTTGCTCGAATCTAGTTCGATTGTGACACGGTAGGGAATTGATGTATATAAGTCTCATATGATGTCCTGTGGTCTCTTGTTCTACAGTTACTGTGAAAACACTGCTCAATAAACTAAACTCGGTGGTTGTCCAACCAAATATGCTTGTTCTGTTACAAATCTCGGGACAGAGCAGGCCAGGGAAGGGTGGTAATATATGACACCCTCTTACTCTGTGTGGCCGAGCATTGCTTGTTGAAAAATGGCTCCTGGGAGGCCTGACAATAAGTGACCACACTAAGAGGACTAAGAGACAAAAAGTAACCACACTTTACTTGATTTAACGGTGTTTTTACAGTAACTGTGATGCGACTGGATATCATAATTGACTTGTGTGTCTCAATGCCCGACCGTTTCGTTGGAAGTGGCCGAACCGAGTACTAAAACCTCTTTTTTTGATCATTTTACTTTTAATTTTTAATCACTTATATGAACGTTACATTTGCGTATGTAAAATTTCGTTTTATTCTGACAACTCTTTCTAGATGCGATAACTTTTAAGGCATTGAGTGTATTTAATTAAGTAATGTATTTACAAACAAAATTACTCGGAAATTCGAGTAATTAAGAATATTTGAAATAAGGAATTTTTACGATGCTGGAAATCGCACTTAGGTAGATTCGAACCTTTTATATTTTTATTTTAACCTTCTTTTTGAGAGAAGTGAACAAATTATTGCTATCAAAATTACTTAACACAAATTGTTGTGCATCTTACGGACGCTATTTAAATCTTCTGTTACGATTGTTTTCGATTAGTCTTTTGAACCATGAAAACTACATATCGAGTGGGAAAAAGTTTCGACATTATTTTTCTTTTGTTTAAAAGTTAGCTAAAGTAAATTACTAATGGGATGGCAAACATTATGTCGTTACTATCTCATTTTTGCGTTCCATATATAATGGCAATAAAGTTTTTGCAAAAATAAATAATGAATGCATTAAGTATTTATTTTCCTTTTCTTTCCTATCTGTTTACTTTTAAAGAAGCTTTTTGAAAGTAACGAGAAATAAAAATTGTTTTGCGCTACTTATTTAAAAGATTAATTTTGGTAATTGATAGATTGATTGGTATAATTGCACTTAATTCATGTCTAGGAAACTTTCAGA